ATTCGTAGACATGACACTGGGATATGACATACTTCAACGACGAATATGGGACGGATTTGCTGAAGTGGGGATCTGTTGTGGAAGATATGGTGACGTGGATCGTTTCGAAATCGTAACAAACCCCCAGGGATTCTGTGCGATGCAAGATTACTTACAGTTTGAACAGTAAGAAAGGGGAGTAAACATAAGATGAATTTTTATAAGAGATAAAGCCCAGATTTTACAACCGTTTCGCTTTGCCTTTCGTGAACATTCTTATTGAGTTTCTTTTTTTTTCTGTACGCCATTTCTGTTTCTTGATCACTTATTAGATTCCACGTTTCAGCCATTCGGTTCAGAGTTTGATTCTTACGTCTTTGTCTCTCCGTGCACAAATTGTCTTATGCATTCCAGAATGGTCCGTAGGTTTCCTTTTTTGTAGTTTTATATGTCACTGTTGTTTGCGTTATTATTCTTTCCCATTTTACGAAGAATTTATTCGAATATTACGAAATATTTTCATCTTAAACGATGTACTTTAGAAACCTTGCTAGCCATTTACGTTGGTTTGTAAATCTTGGTCTTGTATATTGAAATCTGTCCTATATTATTTGAGGTTTTCACGGCTGAAGGATGATTATTTTATTCTTCTGGGTTTTGACGTCGTGTATACTCGTCCGTAGATGCCAGCGTTTCGGATAAATATACTGTCTCCATCTTCATATCTAAAGTGGTGATGCTGAGACGTGGATGGATCATCGGTCACTTCAGCCCTGAAGATGGAGACAGTATGTTTCTCCGAAACGTTGACATCTGCCGACGAGTCTACGCGGTGCCTAAACACAGAAGATCAACATCTTCATTGCATGGAAACAAAATCTTACATTATTTATTTATTTTATTTAGTGTTCTGTCTGAGGACAGGTCCATATGAACAGGATCCTTCCATCCTTTTCTCGGACTGGGACCTGTTCATATACGTTCTTGGCAGATGATCCAGAAGTGTTTTGCCATTGCCTTCTTCTGTGTGTGCATGGAGTAATTGTTGGGATGCCACGGAGAAACCGGGGAAGCCTCCGTGTTGCCTAGACCACGGCCTTGCCCAACACAAGTTATAAATTCGGGCACCGCCGGGAATCGAACCCGAGACCCCAGGATTACAAGGCCAGCGTTCTAACCGCTAGACCACCGTGTACATTAAAGACACTTTAGTTTCAGGGTGTAGATTGGGGATGATAAGATAAAAGTGGCTTATAGCACGCATGTCAGGATTGAGAAAACGTAGAGAAAAATATACATGAAGAAAATCGTATATTAAAAATTCTCAGCGAGGTATCCGTTTTGGAGAAGTTAGTTACTTGTAATCATATTAGGTTTGCATTTGGCAGGAACCGCGACCGAATTTTAATCTTCCCGCGAGTTACCGCTGTTCTCAGCTGCTAAAATGCCTTAATCTCGGACGGCAACAGCCTCCTCTGTGCCTCATTCGACGCGCGACGCCTTCCGGCACATAGACGCCAAGTAACTTTATCCATTATGCTGTGGCCTTAAAATGACCCCAGCGATAAATCACCCTAATGGCGCAATTAACGACAAAAGAACACGACACAGAGTCTAAGGTATCCGCCCGCTCCTGCCGCCTACAAATTCTGTGTAGACTAAACCCACGTCTACAATAGACGCTCGTACAATGCCACGATTATGTCCTCATGATTGTTGCTTCAGAAAGAAACAAAATAGAACTTGATCATTGTTTGCGTGTTTAAATACGACGGAAGACTTTTGTTATTCATTCTCCAAGATTATTTTTTATTAAAACTTGGAGATGAAAAATTACTCTATGCGAATATGGACTGATATTTGCGTTCTTGGTGAGGCTGTCTCTCAGAGAGTCTGAAGATGTCTGTCTTCTGGGTTTAAGCGCCGTGTAGTATGGTAGAAGTTTACCGACGTTTCAGAGGTCCTTGCTGCCTCACCCATTTTCATGATAATGGAAACACTTCCGAAACGTCTACCAGACTACACGGTGCAACAACCGAGAAGACAGCCATCTTCAGACTCGCTGAGAGACAGCCTCAAATCTTAGTAAGAATTAATAAGTTTTTTTTCATCTTAAACTTTGTCGTATTCCGTCTTGCTTGGATGAGTTATACTCGAATTTGATCAGTTCTTGGTGTTTTTTTTTTTATATTTTTACTTTTCAGTAGTGATTTAAACCTCAAAACATCCGATTCCTTTTCTAGAAGTTGGGTGACGTACGCGTAAGTGGGAAGATTTTATTATAATTGTCATTAATTAAATAATTTGACAGCGTTTTAGAATTTGCAATGCGACAGACGTCATTCTGAGGCTGACCTGCGTCATACGTGACCCCTTGTAAGTGTCGTGTCGTTAGCTTTCGCCGAAATGTATCCGGCTTTTATTTCTTAATTTGTCTCTCGTAATCGACGTCTCTTGGCGTCTAGCGTCCAGTTGTCCAAAACTGCTAGGACGACTCGTGACTCGGGTAACAGCTTATACCGTATCTGATCAAAATTCTAAGCACGCAAATTGCATTGAATAATATACAGTTAATGAATAGACCAAATTCCGCGCAGATTCAAATGCAAAAAATAATCCGTCTTTCTGACAAACAATTTGATCCGCTCGTGGTCCCATGTGTTGGTAGTGTACTCAATTTACTTTGAGATTCACAGTGACCCCCCCCCTAGGGACGGTTTCTAGACGACGTGTTGATGGTCACCAGGTAACGTCACTTCTAATCCAATTCCGTTGAATTTTAAATGGATGCAAGTCCACGTGGAATTAGATTGGGCTTGTAGTGCCCGGCTACCTTAAATTTCACAGTTTCTTTGCTGTGTGAAACATCGCACTGCAGAAAAGTGTCGATGCTTTTGAAGAGTCAGGTTAATCCATTCCGTATCCTCACACTCACACACACACTGTTATAATCCATTTTAATATTATCCCCTCATCTACAACTTGGTCTTCCAAGTGGCATTTTCCATTCAGATTTCCGACCAGAGTTCTGTAAATTTTATGTTAAAATATGTTAACGCAAAACTTTATTTAATAACGCTTTGAATTAAGACTGATTCCTGCAAGGCCAAAATATCAAAATCTTCTAGCCATCCTGCGTGAGATAAAACTTGTACGCACTGCGTCACGTGAACTAAAAGTGGTTAATATTTCATTATAAACGCAAATAATCTGTGTAAAACGAAGCGACATTGAATGTCATGTCATTGTGTCCTACAGTGGCGCTGATTTATCATCACCAGTTGTGAGTGTAGCGAAAGAATCGATTTTGGAAACATCGATTCTTGGCTGTTATTGTGTTAGTGTACAAAGGAAAACAGATGTCCTGACAATGATTGCTTTCAATGATGTTTCGACATCTGTGCAGTTTATCTCTGCCCGTGCCAATCTAGACATAACACGGACAAACACAGTACGAAAACATAGCGGTCTAACTATGAGGTACGTTTTGTGTTAATCTAACAATAAAAATAAATATCTTCTTAAGCGTGAACACCGTTTAGATTTAAAATTTATTTTTTTAAAAATAGACAAAGAAACATTGGTCTTATAATTCGCGTATCGTGATATTCTTATTTATTTTTTGTGACGAAAACATAATTGTGTACGTCACATCGATAGGGATTGTTTTTTTAGCATAGGAATTACTTGACAAAGTTCGCAATTTTTTTATATTGAATATACAAGAAAAGTCTACGCATAACATAAAAAAGTAATAACGCTGTTTTAATATTACTGCAGAAATTTATTTTTTCCGTGTAACCCGAGATGATGACGTCAGTGACCTGGAAAGCAGATGTCGACTTTCGCTCTAATCGCGTAGACATGTAACGGGGACCCAGGTTCACTGAATTTTGAACCTTTTTTTAAAAAAAAAGTTCTGTCATGTTCCTGCATACAGATCCATTCTCCTTATAATGGATTGGTTAGATAACTTCAACCCATCCTTATCCGTAATACAAATGTATAAGCCTCTTTTCTCTGACATAAACACGAAATGTTTATTTTATTTCAAACTCATTATTTTAATGTATTTTAGATGCGTAATATTAAAAATACAATTGTAAAAACTATTCAGTTTCTGACGATATTTATGTAAATTAAGTTTGTTTTTATACAGATTATCACAGTGAGAACTTTTAAAATTGGATTATACTTGGTACTTGATACTCGTCGTATGTGACTACCTGCCCCATCTCCGAAACGTCGTTTTACGTTTTTTACGTTTTATTACTAGACGATGGATAATATCCAAGTAAATTTTTATTCAATTAATATCGCTGAATTAAAGAATAATTTATTAATTTCGTAACGGAGTACGGTTACTAATATGAAAATATAATAATATTTATACGTTTATTTTTATATATTGTAGTTAGGTTAGTGCCTCAGCTGTTAAATTCTACTGCGTTGACGTAATATTTTTCTAACCATTCGTCCGACACAAAGCCCGGACTTATCCTGTCATTTGTAACTGGGTTTGTATGTGGGGCATGTTACTAGCAGTTGTTAGATAAATCCCAACCAAAGTTATGTAATATCAGTGTAACACTCAATCAGTTTCATACAGATCATTCATTAGGAATTAACTTAAGTAGGGTTTATATGTCGTTAACATTTTAGAGTGGGTTGCATGCCAAATTTAGTGGCATTCAGCTCGTACGAGATGTTGTCTACGTATGTATATGTCGTGTGGTTTATTTTGCAGACATATCCTCGGTGTAATTACATATATCTGAAATGTTTCTTGGCTCGCTTATGACGTTTCGAAACCACGTTGTTGTCAACGCAACGCCTTGATACTAATTAGTGCAAAGTTTGCTGTTTCGTGGGCTCGTACTATAAAACTTTTCACATAGTTCAGTAGCGTTAAAATTGTCGTTTATTTAAAGTAAATTAAACCAGATAGCAAGAACCCCATTTTTTTTAAAAAAATCCTGTTAAAATCCGCTAATACCCAAAGACTCGTCTTTCCATACAACGTCCAACCCTCCCCTGCCCCAGGACCAACCACTTCCACCCCGCAACATCAACCAACCACTTCAGTTCAATTAGAGCTTTTCCACCGGTAACCAGGCATACGCAGTCCACTCTGCCTAAACAGGTAAGCTGCTTTAAACACAGTCCATTACGTGTAGACGGGACATACAACCAAATCATAAAAGTATCTCGTTTAAGGAACGCAGGTAGAAATTTGGTTGCGTTTGTGACCAATTTCTGTCATCTACAGCAGTGGTATTAAACCTTTTTTGTTCGCGTACCCCCAGATATAATTTCTCTTCAACTTCGTACCCCCAAAAAGTTGTTGGTGTATAATTCAAGTTATACATAGTATATAATCTACATTTAAAATAAATTAATTAAATTACATTACTGATTATTCAATGTTTATCATAAAATAATATATATATTTTTAAAAATTTCACGTACCCCCGGGGGTACGCGTACCCCAGGTTGAATACCACTGATATACAGTATTTAAAATCAGGCTCTGTATGTTGACTTGTCATCAATCGGACGGTTTCCAACCAGTAGCTTCTCTCCGCCGAAGACCGCGTATATGCGTCATTTGACAGTATCCCCTTTTGGAATATGTGCTGAAGAAAATATTTTAAAGACACTGTCCACTCTACTGCTCATTACCGTTTCACAAAATCCCCACAGTTTTTCTATTTTCAACCGAATTAATCCATTGCAGTCCGTAGTGTCCTGTTTAGGTCAACACGCAATTTAAAATTGTCGTCTTATCTACTTCTAGGTTTCTCGGTTGGACTCCTGCCTTGAGATTTTCGAACTAAAATTTCGTATACATTTCTCGTCTGTACCAACCGACCAGACGCATAAAGGACCTCTGAAACGTCGGCTACACGGCGCTACAGCCCGGAAGACAGCCATCTTAATCACCCACGTTGCTTGTCAGTCACCTACGCCCATGCCTTTGAGGTAAGAGCGGTGAATGGAAAGTTCCTTGCTCTGGGTTATAAGCTGTAGATTGTGTTTGTGTGTGTTTTATTGGAAGGGGGAGTTGGCTTTCTGGCTTCGGCAAATGTTCAGAGGCGAACCGCTTGCAAATTGTGTTATTATCGATTCGAAATTGATGTGAAATAAGCTAATGCATAAACAAGATTCTGAATCTCTTCTCGACGTGGCACGTCTCGGAAACTATTAATAGTTCTTCGCCATTTTCCTAGTCTGCATCTTCTTCGTAGATCCAAGTCTTTCCCTGTTTCTCTAATAATATATCCTCAGTTAATTTTCTTTTCAGTGCTTTATTTAAAATTATAGCTATATTTATAAATCGTTGCCTACGGCGTGGGGTATGGAGTTAAAATTGAATGTCCTTGACAATTGATGAATGCGAATGTTTGAAAAGAAAGATTCACAGTCGATAAAACATCTATTAAAAACAAAATTATTATTTTCGGGTAGGAGATAATTGACCCCCCCCAAAAAAAAAAAAAAAAAAATTGCGTAATTTGACGAGAATTGTGGTCAAACATTTAAGGAAAATTGTAATAGAAGGAAAATGCAAAAGTGTATTTAGCGTATTCCTTTAGAATAGTCCTTTATCTTAGATACTTGATTATGGTTCTTAATCACCTGATTAAAGTTGATGCCTCTTTTAACAGTTAATGCAGATTTTAAGCTTTCCACTACACCAAACTTAATCTGCGATATTTGTTTCTAAAGCCAGTTTATACGCTGTGTAATAAGGATACTTAAAAATGTATGGTTAAAACCGACACTTAAATTAATTATGTAAAATGAATTACGAAAATGAGACCTTGTTACGGCTTCGTGGATAGGCGAAAGGATTTTGTACTCGGTCAGGTTTTACGTCTTATATCCTGGAATGGAAGCTTTTGCAATTTCTATAAGGAATCTTCCTGGCTTAAGCGTGTCCCCTGCTTGAGTCCCTCTTAAATGTGCAGTTAATTCGATTTCAGTACACCAAAGGCGTTCAGATGTCTGCTTACAAGTTTAACAGAGAAAATCCCTAGTGTACGTTAAATCTCGCAGACACAGTTTCGCAAACTTCCATATTTTGCATTTTAAAGACTTTTTGAAAAAAAAAATTAAAAAAAGGACAAAGTGGAATTATAAATTGTATATCAAAGATTACTTTTATATTAACAACTAATACTTACAGATTATGAAGAATGTTTTGTTTATGGCCTGGACTTGTAGTTACAAACATTTATTATAATACTTTATGAATGAGACGTACTGGATTAATCGGGGTTCGATCCCCGACAGAGGCAGAGGATTTTATTCTAGAATCTGCCTCCACACGGGCTCTGGACCGCCATGATAACGTCACATCTTAATTATGATTAGGGTGACTAAAGCAATGAGGGTGAGATGGACTGGACGTTTAGCACGCCCGGGGAGGTGATAGAACAGTTTCTTGTACTTATTACTCATTATTTAAGTCGTATACTTTCATTTGCATATCTTTCATTATTAATTTCGGTTTTACGTCTAGGATTTTCAGTTCTCTGTTTGAATTTATTTAATATTTTAAAACAGACGCTTTGCGTATCTTTATAAACAGAGATTTCGCGTTATCTGAAGACGCCACATTGCGAAGTGTTTATGTTTCGGATGAAGTAAACCAGTGGTCACGAAACAGACTTATAAAGGGAACAGGACCCATTTGAATAATTCGTGGTTTCTATCGAGTTACGTGTTTGGCAAGCTCTGTGACCAGCTAACCGTACACAAAACAAGTTTTAACTTTCACAAATATTGTCTCAAGTTTTCGACTGCTATTGGGAAATATTCATGAAGGTCTGTAATCCAAACAGTGCAAATGTTTTTGACAGTTCAGTGGGCACAAGGTAATAATTAAATCATATTAATTGTTCATTAAATATCAGTATGAAGAAACAAATACAGAATTGGAGTATTTATTATTCTGATTAGTAAATAATTGTTTTTATTTTTATTTATTATTGTGATAAATATATATTTGTTTAAATCTTGTCAGTCTAATCACAATAAAATTCCTATTAAATATTAATATTTTAATGTTTTAATATAGAACATCTAATGAAATTCGAACATTTCGATAGAGAACATCATTTTAATGTATTTTAAATATTTAAATGTTAATTATGGTAATATTTTAATATTTAATAGGAATTTTATTGTGATTAGACTGACAAGATTTAAACAAATATATATTTATCACAATATGACGCAACTTTATCTTCTCATAAATAATTGTTTGTAAAACGTGAAGGAAATATGAAAGACAATTTTGTTGATTTCTTGATTGAAATCACAGTCATGAATCTGTGTTGATATTGTTATGAACGTTGCGTAATAGCACGGTTCTTTGAGTGACGTCACGACATTCTCGTTTTTAATACTTACCTGTTCATTAATTACCTCTGAAGATTAAACAGTGTTTTTAAATCAAGATTCCACGGTTTAAAGAAAATAAATTTATATTTGGGTTCTTACCGCGGCGAGTACGATGAAGTGTTCTGGGATATTTTGACGTGTTGTCTTTTTAGAAATTTGCCAGTGTGTAAAAGATGTTGACGAATATATGCAGGCATGAATTGTGACGTACCACGGAAAACGAGTGGATTAGCAAGAGAGCAATTATGGCCAAGTGTTTTTTATTTTACAAGTGGAACGTTTTAAGTCTCCTTATTCATCCTTAAACACGTTACAGTGAGCAAGGCGGCTTAGCTATTACGAAATTAATTCCAGCAAAGTCTTCATGAAATATTTGATAGTAATTTTATGGAAATTGTTTTTAGTGCAGACACGTGTTTCTTAATTTGTTAAATTTATATATATATAAAAAAATAGCGATGTTAGACGAAATCTGTGATTGAATTTGTAACAAATACGAAAATCTCTGTCTTTTGGGCTATTAGATATTTATCCAGAAGGCAGACATTTTTGTATTCATCGCCGTGAGTACATCAAATCATACTTTTAAATATTATTAATAAATTAAATATTTTAGGCTGTTTTTTTTTTAAAATTTAAAGAAGGTTTGTAAAGGATTGTTTATCTTTTCCATGCTTTATATGTGTCCCACTTTTATTTATCGAGTTATCGATCTATCGCGATTAGTTTCCGCTTTATCTCGTATATTTTAAATCTGCGTCTTAATATGGGAAACTCCCGGGAAGATGTGACATGTAAACTAATCAATTGTCGATAGTTACCAGTGAAATTTTGATTACTGACTGAATATTTGTGTGTGTGTGTGTGGGGGGGGGGGGGTGTCTTTCCCGTGACACTAATTATGCCAGTTGTATTTCCGAATGTACACATCCGGTAAAACAGGATTATGGGAAGTTGGAACTGGGAATTAATGGATGGATAAACATGAGACTAGTATTGTAATAATTGCACGCTTGTTATTGCAGTAGTCGTCTTTTGTTTGTTACGCTTTTGGTGACTGTTGTGATGTATGATGATGTCTTCTTACTAATTAATGGGCTTTTGTACGAAGTGAGAGGAAAATTGAGTAGTTCTCCAAACAGCCACTGCGGTATCTTAGGGCGGTAGTGATCCACCTTTGTAAAGATATATCTTGTTTGCTCGAATTAGCATTCGTACGCCCACCTCTTGTAACCTGCGATGTTTTGTGTTGAACAGGTCTTGAGAGATTTAAAGCGGGGAGGGATTTGACTTAGAAAACATATTTGTACATAAACCCCGAGTCAATTACGGACGTTTCATAATGGAGTGCATGAATTACGCGTGGGGTAGAAATTGTATGTAACAGTCACGAACAAAAGACGAAAATATAAGTGCGTCGTTGTACGTCAGAATTTGGTCGCGTGTCTAAACAGACGTCGATACAAGAGTGTGCTGAGGGAGTCAGCCGCGATGAAACCAGAGATAAATATACCCACCCTGAAGATGGCAACTGAATTGTTTGCCGAAACGTATGAAAAGCTTCGTCATTGAACACGGCGTGTTCTTGAAAGTCTAGATTGTAGACTTGAGCTCGAGAACGTAAAAAAATATTACTCGCTGTCATTTGTCTGCTTGGGGTTTAATTTTGATTTGTTATTGCATTTCCGAAGCATTTGATCGTATTGTATTGCTGACAAATATTTTTTACTGTTCAGTTAATACATCGTGCAACATTATTCATTTAACTACGTCTAAGAGAAAATGTTTTCACTTTGAGCTATAGAAACTTTCAGAGCATATCTCAGTAAATATAATTGTGTTGTTAGGAAGTTTAGGACGAGTGTTGTGTGCGCATTGACACAAACTTATAAAAGTTCTCAAGAATTAATTGCTTCCTAATATAATTCAACCAGGAAATGTAACTGTAGAAAATTTATAGTCAAGACTTTTAACTGCATTAAACTCAATAAAGAAACGAAATTTTTGCTTAAAAAGAACTGCTTAACTTTAGATACGTTAATAATACAAATTTCTTCAAACATTCTTCAACGTGGAAAGTAAGGAAAGTTTTAACTTTGGTTCAACAGAAGTGGATTTTAAAAGATCTAATTAAAACACAATCTGAACTTGTATTTTTGTTGTGTTATTTTGTCTGGCAGTTAGATTGGGCACTTAGCATCTTTCAAATTGTCAAATGTCAGTAGGATTTGAGTATTTTACGGCGATGAATACGAATATGGCTGTTTTCTGGGTTGTATCCCCGTGTAGTATGGTAGACGTTTACCGACGTTTCAGAGGCCCTTCGTGCTTACATCATCAGGACGATAAACACTCATCGCCCTGATGATGGAGGCAACAAAGACCTAGTTTTTTTCGAAATAAAATATGAATTTTCTTCACTGTTACATTTGATGATGATTGTTTATTAATTTATAAAAAATGAAATAACACTTTAAATAATTAATACGTAAGTTGTCATGTGTCCGAAATTCTCTTC